TCATGTCCTCATCCACTGTAAGACAAACCATCATCCAGCAGTTGGGGAGCACAGACTGTTTGCTCCTGCTCTGTCCGGCACAGATCCTGACTTAAACTTACTAAGTTTTCCAATGAACTCCTAAGATCATCTCAGTGGCATTTTAGCACTTCACACCCAGTGGTGTTATCACCATCCCAAAAGCCTTTATGTCAAGTCTGTTCAGGAATCACTGAGGGTGAGCATTGCCCAAGATTCAGGAATGGAGGATCTGTTTACTCAGTCTTCTGGATTTTTCAGGAGTGGCAAGAAAGTCCCAAACCCACAAAATGACAGAACACCTTGTCACAAAGATGGTGAAGGGTGTAGAGGGGAAGCTGTATGAGGTCTCTTGGCTTGTTCAGCCTGGGGAAGAGGAGACTGAGAGAAAACCTCAACCTCACTGTGGTCTGCAGCTTCCTCATGAGGGGCAGTGGAGGGGCAGGCACTGATCTCTTCTGTCTCATGACCAGTGACAGGACCCGAGGGAATGACCTGCAACTGGGAAGTTTAGGTTGGCTATTAGGAAAAGATTCCTCACCCAGAGAGTGGATGAGCACTGGAACAGTCTCCCCCAGGAAGTGGTGACAGCAGCAAGCCTGTCAGAGTCCAGGGAGCATTTAGACAGCACTCTCAGGCACGTGGTGGGATTGTTGGATTTTCCCATGTAGGGACAAGAGTGACTCGAGGATCCTTGTGGGTCGCTCCCAGCTCAGGTTGTTCTATGATTTTAGGATTACACTTAATGGGAACAAGGGCTCTCCTGTCAATTTCAGCATTTCCAAGTGCTTTCTCTTAAATCACAGTTTGAGTCTCTTAATAGGAGTTGATGTCTGTGTATCAGCAGGATCTGCCACCTCCTACCATGCAGCATTGTCACCTCTCTCCTGGCTGGAGGCAGTGAGCACTGAATGAATAGAGTTGACACATTCAGAGGTGAAGGGTAGATCAGTGTTGCCCATGGCAGACAGCTGACCCTTCCTGCCATGTCACATCCACAGACCCCCAGGGGATGCCAAGTCCAGCAGAGATGACCCAAGGCACAGCCCCTGATCACAAGGGCTGCTCTTCCTCATGAGCAACGAGGCCCTTCCTCTGGAGTCTGGTCTGACATATTTCCGCTCGCAATCAATAATCTCATTTCCATATGGAGTGAGACAACAGATAAACAGGAAATCATAATAATGTGACTGCTAATTACCCTCAGCATAATTAATGTCCAGTAGCAAACAAAGCCTGTATATATTGAAGCGTGGCTCTTCCAGCGGTGTGGCTTTCCAAAGAAGCGGGCTGGTGTATCCAACGGGATCCATCTCTCCTTGTGGAAGAGACGAGCTGCTGGGATCTCATCTAGGAGTCTGAACCAGGACTCTGGGAGTGTGTCTTCTTCTTGCCTGTCTGAGGTACGTGGTGTATTTTTTGTGGCTTTGGGCTGTAGAAGACTTAAATGTACAACTCCCGGGATCAGAGAATGGGGTAGAAATTCAGTACAAGGTGAAAAGAAAAGGAAATTTCACAAACCCGGTCTGCAGAGGTGTTTCAGTATCTTGGGCCTTCCATTTCCCTTGGGAATAACTGCAGGGTTTGAGACACTTTCCAGTCAAACCTGCTAGCCTTTGAATTCCCTTGCTGCCAACAAGACCAGCAGTCAACTGGAGCAGTGCATCATCTTGCTCCTGCTGCTTTTCTCCAGGTAAAGTTTTCCCCTTGGTGCAGATGAGTGACCTGCTGCCTGTAAAGGTGAGCAGAGCCCGGAGGAGGAGGAGGAAGGGGCTGTTCTCCAAGCTTGCAGGGAAAGTGCATTTGCTCCCCAAAAGAAAGATTTGAAAGTTTCAGTGTGCTTATTCCCAGTCCACTTACTGAGGATCTGACACAAGAAGGAATCTCTCAGCATTGAGGAGTAACTTTGAGAGGTGTCCCTTCTCAAGGGGAGATGTGTCGTGAGCAACAGTGGGACTTCAGAGAAAGTTTATTAGAGAAGTCCTCTCACTGTGCTATGAGGTGCAGAGAGGACCCCTTAATTTCTAAACTCCTTCTGTGAGTGGAGTCTGGATGAGGCTGGATCCAATGTTAGTCCCAAACTTTGTCAATGGTTTTCAGTACGACTTTGTCCCACAGGGTTCAAGATGTCAAACCAGGTATATTTACATAAAATGCATTCTTTATTATGACAAATGATCAGACAAAGGATCTTAATCAGAACTATTTACTACACAATATAAAAGCTAAAACTACCAGAAGTGGTTAGGATAGGATAGGATAGTGCACTATATCAAAGCAATTATAATTAAAGATAGCAAGAAGAAACAATCATTAATTAGGGATTGGTGTAACTCACCATACCAACACTTGTGGACAGATCTCTATCTCTTAACCTTGAGGAGTAACCTCGAAGGGGAATCTCCACTTCAAAGGAGAATCTCCACACACTCCAAGAAGAGGATGTTAGAAGAATCTGATGGCATGAAAGTGGACTGGGCTTCTAGAGTATAAACTGAGTGACTGCCAGTCAGTCATATGTCTCCAGGTCAGCTTAGCAGCTTATCTGCCAAATCTCTGCCTGACTATCAGGATGTTAATTTGGGGGTGATGTGTCAGACTGGTTTTAGCATAATCGAAGACCAAAACCAGCACATGATGCCCCCTCTCAGCCCACCCTAACAGCTTGTAAAACCAGGCATTGCTTGAGTTGTTTGACCACATTGTGAGGGTAGAGTATCCTGCTGCAAGACCTGGGCATGCAGCCTGCAGCGGGCCCAGAAGGTCTTTCAATTTCCCTGAAGTTGCTCAGCTACCTCCCAGCTTGCCCTGCTTTCTGATAGAAAGAAAACTGAGGTGGAAATCAGGAGAACATCCACATGGAGAGGCCAGATCTGGACTTTGGTTCAATTTCCCTAGAAAAGTGCTGCTAGTCTTGCTTCTTTTCATGCATGACATGGAAAACTTATCAGAAGAACTTAATCTGTGTATCTCTGAGCTCCCAAGTGGGAGAAGAATGGAGGATCCAATAGGATATTTTACAGATTGAAAAAATGGAAGTTTGTCTTACAGAACAGACCCCATGGGAGCTAGATCAATGAGCAGCAGAGCTCCTTCAACATCACTCACAGCACTTCTCTATCCAGGAAGTGCACAGGTCCGGACAACATGTAGGCACTGCCTAAACTGACATGAAAGCAGAGCAGTGCCAGTTATTAGGCGCTTTTATAAACATCAATGAAATGTAAAAGCATGAGCTTGTAGACTCCAGGAGTAGGATGAAATGTTCATGACTTCTTCAGTTTATTTCTGGTTATAGCAATCAACACATCGTTACAGTATTCCTGGACTTCCAGAAGAGGAGGGAAATGAGCGCAGTTTAGTTGTGAATGAATGAGCAGCTCCCTCCGCTGCCAGCTGTGTCCCACCAGCACAAAAATGACTGCAGGCCATGGTCAGCTCTCTCCAAGCTGAGTGTCCCTCTGCATTTGCCTTCCAGGGGAGCAAGAGCCCTTCACCTGAAATCCTCTCGTGATGCTGTGGCTGCTGCTGCTGCAGGTCTGGGTGAGCTGCCTCTGGCTGGGACATGGCGAGGTGGTGAAGTCCTTTGCAAGTTGTCCTCAGTTCTTCTACGGTGACACCCCCCCAGATGCAGCGATGAAACCACAGAACCCAGCCTGGATCTGCCAGACCTTAAACAACCAGCGTTTCTTTGCCACCTTGTACGACAAAGACAGGCGTATTCCCATGTACTCTGCTTACAAATACGAGCCTAAAAATTTCACTACAAACCACACATGGACAGTTGAGCCCCAGGTGAGTGTCCTCTCTTACAGCATTTCACTCTCCAGTCATTAAAAGATTAACTGCAGCATTTAACCAAACATCTCTATTTCCTCCCACCACCCCACCCCCCCACATCTGCAAATAGACACACTGGGTGGGATTCATCTCATCTCACTTCAAACACCTGCACCACATGATTCCTCTGATGCACTTCAAACAGCAGCAGGAGGAGGAGTCCTATCCCAAAGGTGCCCATTTTTCTGCATTGACCTGAGAGCAACATCAAGGCAAATTCCATTTCATTCCATTCCAAAGTCAAATGACCTCCCTCTCTGTGCCCTGCTGTGGTGGGAGACCCAGTGATGGGGAAAAGGCATCCAACAGCAGCTAAATTTGGGGGACCAACAGTCCTGCTGGGCTGTGATCTCCACTTTGCCCTGAGCTGTTTTGCATCCCTGACAGAGCTTTATTTCTCACAGTTAAGACTCCATTTGTCTTTGTAAGTGATGTGAGAGAAGTGAGGAGAAACTCAGAATTGGGTGAGATGACCCAGGGAAAAAGCCTCGGCACAGGCACTGAGTGATGAGAGGGTTTGGTGAACACTGGGGAATTTATTCATATTTCAGGCAGTGAAAAGTGAGGAGCATCAGTGTCAGTCCAGTCAGAAGGGGGTGATCTCCAGCCATGGCCAGTTGCCCCTGAGCACTGTTGCCTCAGGCTTGGTTCAGAAGGATCCGTCAGACACACAGATCTCCACAAACAACAGAGCTCTCCCAAATGTCCTTCAGACCTCCAGTGAAAAAGACCAAGGGAATTATGGAACAGAAAGAGAGGAAGTTCAGGTCATTGCTAAGGACAGAGTAGCAGGAGGAAATTTAGGAGTTCATGAGTGACAGCAGAAAGCCATATGCCCTGTTCCAGAGGGAGAAGAAATATGTGTTTCCAAAGATGAACAGAAAGGTGTTGGAGCACTAAAAAAAAAAACCCATTTGCACTTTGTACTCATTGGAACTCAAACAACTAATATGATATTGCACCACTGCAGTCTCCACATTTAAGGGGGATAAAGCTTCTCTCTTTTCATAGAATCAATGACTCATAGAGGGGTTTGTGTTGGAAACAACCTCAAAGATCATCTCAATTCAACCCCCTTGCCGTGGGAAGGGCCACATTCCACTAGACCTGGTTGCTCAGAGCCCCATCCAACCTGGCCCTTTTCCTCCTGGACCACAGAGCCAGGCCACTTGCAAACTCTTTGATTTTGGTAACTTTCTCCAGAGGTCCCTTTTCAGTACTTGGGTTTCTCAGGACTCTTTGGGGATTATGAGCTCCTGGGAGAGGCTGATCATTTTTAACTTCTTTTCAGTGAGGCTGCAGAAGATGCTCCCTGTCCCAGATCAGCTCTGAGACACATTATTAGGACTGCAGTAGCAGATCCCATTTGCATTGAGGTCTTTTTGAATAATGAACAAAAAAGCTTTCATCCTTGCAGTGACCTGTAGCCTCCCCTGGGAAACCTCACCTCTAGGACTGGTTTCTCCACACATCTCCCTGTGTCTGGGGTTACAGGAGGCAAACCCTGGTGTTCCAGGAGTGTGGTACACCTGTAGCAGTCAGAGATGGAATCAGAGAATGACAGACTGGGGGTGGGAGGATCTGGGGTAGAAGTGGGTTTGGAGATGGGTTGAGAGGGAACCAGCTGTGTCGGGGAAGGTTTCTCAACAAAGACCTTTCACCTTTCAAAGGAGCCACACTCCCAGCAGCACAGGCTGCAGGCTGGATCACAAAGGTCACAAGTCAAAAGGAGAGCAGCCACATTCTGAGCTTCTTTTGTCTTAAAAGCTGTTGTGTCCATCCAGGAGGGGCAGCTATAGGATTTCCCTCAGATTTATATATTTACATAGGCTGAGATGAGAAAAAATGTGTTCTTGACACCTGGAGACTTCTGCTCCAGGGAAACCTGCTCCATTACTCCTATCCCCAATACTAACACCTTTTCCTCTTCTTTCTCTGTCAAGCTGATACGTTCAAATTTGCCCAAAAGCATGCAAACAGTGCAGACCCTTGAACGTCAATACAACATCACCAAAGCACAAATCATGCAAAGCCAGGCTGTCTACACAGACTATAACAACAGTGGTTGGGATCGTGGCCATTTGAACCCCAATGGCCACCACAACACCCAGGACAGCAGGAATGCGACCTTCACCCTCACCAACATAGTGCCCATGAATGAAAAACTCAACCGAGGTGCCTGGAAAAACTACGAGCAGCAAACGATGGGCAATAAAAGCATAAACTGTCAAACCACCTACGTCATTGTGGGGGCTGTGCCCGGGAACTCCTCCGTCCCCAATGGGAGGGTTAATGTACCCAGCCACATCTGGTCTGGTGCCTGCTGCAAGACCAAGAACAACACTGTGAGTGCTTGGGCAGCCATTGCCGAGAACAACCAGAATCAGGTCAATGAACTCACTCTTGGGGAGCTGGAGAAGAGGTTGGCCCAGCTGTATGGAATGCAAAATGTTTCTCTCTTCCACAAGGACTGTCCCCGTAAATAAGCCTCATATCCTGGTCGCAAAACGCTCAGAGGCTTTTCCCACAGATCACAGAATCACAGAATGCTTTGAGTTGGAATGGACCTCAAGGATCATCAAGTTCCAAATCCCCTGCAAAATAGCAGGGACACTAGACCAGGTTGCTCAGAGCCATGTCAAACATGGCCCTGAACACTTCCAGGGATGGGGCAGACACAGCTTCTCTGGGCAGCCTGTATCAGTGTTTCACCACCCTCACAGGGAAGAATTTCTTTCTGATATACAGCCTGACCCTGTGCTCTGTCAGTTTAAATCCCCCTTCTCCTGTCACTGTGTGCCCTTGTTCAAAGTCCCTCTCCAACTATTCTGGAGACCCTTCGGGTACTGGAATGAGATCTAAATTCTACTCGGAGCCTTCTCCAGCTGAACACCCCCAGCTCTCTCAGCCTGTCTCCAGAGTAGAGGTGATCCAGCTCTCAGAGTACCTCTGTGACCTCCTCTGGACTCCACCCCAACTGGTTTGTGTCCTTCTCTTGTTGTGGGCCCAGGGCTGGAGGCAGCACTGCAGGTGGGGTCTCAGGAGAGCAGAGGAGAGGGGAGCAAATGTCCTGTGCAGTGTCCATCCTGCTCCCTTCTCTGTTGGGTTTCCAGCTCTGTCCCTCAGGGCAACTCCTCCTCCTGCCCTGATAAAAGGGAGAAAGAGGCAGGCAAAGCCTCCAGCTGGTTTGCTTTGCTGCCCATGCTGGCAGAGAGCTCTTAGGGATGAGTCCTTGCCCTGACAGTCTGGAGGGAACAGGTGGAGAAGTGTAGCACTTGTATCTTCAAGGACCAAAGAGATGCATGCGCAGCTGTAAATTGGTTTATTCGCGCGCTAACAAGCCCTTATACACATCCCGTGACATCACGTATTTCCCACAGTTCTTACCCAGTCCTCCCAGCGGGCATGCTCCATTGAGTACTCTCTCTGGGAGTTTGCTGTGGAGACTACATCTCCCAGGGCACCTTGGGACATCCTTCCTATACCGTGTTAACCCTTTCTGCCACAGATAAGAGCCCACAGACAAGGAAATGAGAGCTTCTCTCTGCAATTACATGGGCTTTGCCTTGTTTTCCTTTTGCTCCCTGCCCAGAGACAGGTCTTAGTTCCTTCCCCTCCTCATTAGCTGTCCCTCAGAGTGTGCTGCTGACTTGTCCCTCCCCTCCTTAGGAAGACTGTGGGACGAGGGTGGCTCAGGTTGCCCACAGGTGTTGTGGAGTCTCCATTGCTGGAGAGGCTCAAGCCCCAAGTGGACATGATCCTGGACAACCTGCTCTAGCTGAGCCTGCTTGAGCAGGGGTCTGGACTAGGATATCTTGAGAGGTCCCTCCAAACCTCAGCAGTGCAGTGATTCTGTGATGCTGGGAACCAGATTTTGTTGGCTTGCTTTTGAAACCTGCACCTTGTAGAAGCAGGAGCTGAGGTCTGAGATAGGCAGGCTCAGGCATCAGATCTACAGGAAGCTTTGACCAGTCAGAGATAAATTTCTGTGATACACTGCTTGGATAACTTCATTCTCTGCTGTGCTTCTGAACCTTTTCTGCAGATTTATGGCTAAATGATTTTGTGAAATGTATTCATTCTATTCAATATAATCAATGTAATCAATGTGTCAATCAAAAGATTGCCAGATCATGTAGTTCCTGAGTAGTTCACAATAAAAATGATTTGCTTCAGTGCTGGATTGCAGAGTCATCTATAAGCCACTAGTTGCTTCTCTCTGAAATCTCAATTTCCTAGTGATGTCACAGACCCCAGAGCATCCTTGCAGGAGGAAGGGGTTCCAAGTCCAACCTGAAAGTGACATAACAGGTACTAAAGTGTCTCCATCAGACTGCAGTTACTTCTGCTAGGAATGTGCATGAACAAAGTGGATCAGGCTGCAAACAGCTCCTACAAGCTGTGTCACTTCCAGAGGTACCAGCTTGAGCCTCAACTTCTCAGCTCAGCAGCTGTTGTTCACCATCCTACAGTGTCTCATCTCTCACCCTGGACCAACCACTTTGGGGGTTGCACTGAAACAGTGGGTGGGGTTGAGGTGCAAAGTCAGGCAGCAACATGCAGGGATCTCCAGGTGTGCTGGGTGTCCCAGCTCTGATCCCACCCACCAGAGATCCAGGGCTGGCTCAGCTCCATAAACAGATGCACCCTGTGCCCTTGAGGTGCCCTGAGGTGTGTGAGAGCCCCGGTGGGGCTGATCTGCTGCAAAATCCTGGGGAACACCAAACCCATCTGGGCCATCAGCCAGAGGCCAGGCAGGTTCCCTAAGGGCATCTGCAGTGGCTCTGGACACCTGAGCACAGGGAACCAGATCCCAGCACAGACCCTGGGCCATGCCTGGTCGCACCAGGGACTTGTGCTCTTGTTGTCTCCATTGCCATGGTAAGAGCAGCAGTAGCACTCACTTGTGCCAGCTGGATAGCTTAGAGAGGTAAGAGAATATTTTGCTGTTTAGGAGGACAAAGTAGGAACATCACTCTGACACCCTTCTGCTGGACAGCTCCTTTGCCCCAGGTTGCTGCCCCCATGGGTTTTTTCTCCTGGGATCAAATGCCAACACAGCCCACTCCTGGTGCTGGTTCAGGCTGAGGTAAATCTCTGCTGTACCTCAAGGGGCTCCATCTGACTCGCTCCCCAACCTCTTCACTCCTGCTGAGTCTTGAAACACATCCTTGTGGGGCTCATCCAGTGCCACACAGCCCTTGCTTTCCGGGCTCTGGAACCACTGGCTGTTTGGCCATCCCCAGGAATCCCATCCCTATCACCTCCCTGGGGGTCTCCCCAGGATCAAGACTCCTGTCAGTGCCCAGAAATGCCCTCCCATCCACTGTAAACATATGAAATACATGGAAAGCCCAAAAGAGAAAGGAATCAGCTTGCAGGTGATAAAGGCACAAATCCCCTTTTTGCAGTACTGCAATCACAAGAGGTTTTTCCATTTTCCTGAAGTTGCTCAGCTATTTTCAGCTTGCCCTGCCTTGAGAATGAGGCTGGACTGCTGCCTGTAGCCTCTGATAGAAAAAAAAGTGAGGTGGAAATCAGGAGAAGATTGACATGGAGAAGGCAGATCTGGATTTTGGTCCAATTTCCCCAGAAAAGTGCTGCTAGTTCTTTTTCTTTTCACACATGACATGGAAAGCTTATCAATAGTCCTTCATCTGTGCATCTCTGAGCTCCCAACTGAGAGAAGACTGGAGGATCCAATAGGATCCTTTACAGGTTGAAGAAATGGAGGTTTGTCTTACAGAAGAGACCCCATGGGAGCTGGATCAATGAGCAGCAGAGCTCCTTCAACATCACTCACAGCACTTCTCCATCCAGCATGTGCACAGCTCTGGACAACAAATAGGCAGTGCCTACATTGACATGAAAGGCAAAGCAGTGCCAGTTATTAAGTTGTTATTATTAAGTTGTATAAAAAAGTAGTGAAATGGAAAACCGGGAGCTCCTAGACCCCAGGGGTATGCTGAGAGGTTCATGGCTTCTTTTTACCAGCAACCTCCGAGGCAGGATGACCTTAGTTCTTCTAATAGATGATTGAGGTGGACATGATGCTGAATGACCAGTGTCTGTACGAGGCAGGTTTATTTTAAAACAACTGGGTTGCAGTGGAAAGGATGCTTGTAGCCATTTTAGTTCTTTTCTATAAAAGTATAGAAATACCAAGAAGAAAAAATCTAAGGAGAAGACAGAAGGAAAGAGAAGGAAAGGACAAGAGCAGATAGTGGAGAGGAAGGAGATCACCACTTGTGGATCCAGCAACGAGACCTGCAATTTCAGTGTCTGTAGCCTTGATCCTTTGGGAGTGGGGGCCAGAGGCACAGAGAGTTGGATGGGTTCTATTCATTCCAGCTCTCATGAGAATGCCCCACTGCCTTCCCTGGAGTGGGGTTTTACACAGTGTGGTGCTACACTGTGGAACTGAGTCAGGAGATGCTCCGGGGGTCTTTGGTGGTTTATGGCCCTTTCTCATGACATGAACACAGTTTGGCCTTGCTTCTTGCAACTGCTGCTTTGTCAGGCCAGTTGGGCCTCATCAGAAAGGAGGAAATATGATAAAAAGGATACAAAGGATTGCCCCAGCTCTGCTGGATCTGCTTTTTGTCAGCCTTCTACCTTATTTGCCTCAAAACCACTTTAAGATGCCAGTCCCAGGTTATCAGGGACAAAATAAACCACAGGACTCAACGACTTCCTTCAAACACACTTGGGTCTATCACACTTCTTCTGGTCATTTCTGGTGGGACAACCAACTTGTTTTCCAGTATTCCTGGACGTTTGGAAGTGGATGAAAATGAGTCCAGTTTAGTAGTGAATGAAGGATTATAGACTCATAGAAGACTCATTTTGAGTCTTGGAAGGGCCCTTAAAGATTATCTGGATCCAATCTGCTGCCATGGGCAGGGACAGCTTCCACTAGACCAGGTTGCTCAGAGCCCCATCTAACCTGGCCTTGAACATTTCCAGGGATGGGGCAGCCACAGCTTCTCTGGGCAACCTGTGCCACTGTCTCACCACCCTCACAGCCAAGAGTTTCTTCCTTGTATCCAAACTAAATCTACACTCCTTCAGTTTAAAACCATTCCACCTTGTCCTATCAACTCCTGGTCCTTGTGCAAAGTCATTCTCCAGGTCTCTTGCACACTCTTAAAGAACTGGAAGGGGCTCTAATGTGTCCCCAAGACCTTCTCTTTCCCAGGCTGGTGGCAGGAATACGGGCTCTTACAAAGCCTTGGCAATCCAGAAAGGGAAAATATGCAGCCTGGCCATATTAATTATCTCCTGAGAGGCTGCAGAAGAGCTGACTGTGAACATCTGGGAGTGCTCTGAGACACGTTCGTCAAAGGCCCCCAGAGATGTTCTGCCAAGAACAGAAATGTGTGTGGGTGCTGCAGCAGCAGTGGCTGTGGCCCCTGGGGAATGAGGAAATGGACAGGGATGTCACCAGACCCAGTTAACTGCTCCTGACCTGTGGCTTCAATCAGCTACCTTTGGAGAAACCCAGAAGAAATTGCAAATAGCAACTGTCACCCAATTTCTGTGCAAGGATGAACAAATCTCCCCTGAGTAACAACAGAAAACTTCTCCTTTTTTTGAAATTCTGTGGTTATCGGATTTACAACCAGGCATATATTGCAGTGGGACTCCTGAGGGATCAGCCAACTGTTTCTCCAAGGAGAAGAGGCAAGGAGCGGCTCAGTTGCCTGTTCTGAGACTCTGCTTCAAGGTAAGCTCTTGTTCCTTTCTCAACATAGACTCCAATATTTCAAGTATTTCCTTAGCTTTGGAATAAAGAGATCAGACAAAGCATAGGCCGGAGTTGCTGAGCTCCACCATCTGCCTTCCATGGAGAAATGAGAGGTTATGCATGCACTGAATTGTGCAGTTCTTTAACTTTTTCTGTTAAGGAAGGCAAGGACAGAAGGATGGATTTGGGAGAGAAATTCAAGTCAAGTCACCAGCATAATTCACATCAAACTGTTTAATAAGAATGGAAGGAAGGGGGTGAGGTGTGGTGCTGAGCTTATGGAATACCAAAATTCCACCCATGACCTTGCAAAAAATCTCTGGACAAACACAGGTACTGGCTGCACTCCTGGGCAAACTTAATCTGAAACCCTGTGTGGGAAATCTCACAACTCTTCCTTCCAGGGGGATCATATATAAACAGCCAGTCTCAGACTGCAGCAGAGACATTTCAAAGTCCTCTGCCACTCTGGGGCTGGGAGCAGAGTCCTGAGCCCATATTTCCCACGGTAAGTTGGTTTCTCTCTATCTGATATTGAGTAAGTGGGATATATTTTAAGCTCATGGAGGGGTTGGTGCAAAAGGACCTTTCAGGAACTTCTCTGCTTGATTGGGGCAGAGATGGTCCTGCTCTGCAGAGCACTGTACAAAGCTACTGCTTGTGGCTCATATTTTGAGTTTCCTCATCACTGGTCCCCACGTTCCTGATCCAGGGCTGGTAAAGAGAAAAAGGAGCAGATATCTTGGGTGAGAGCAAGGGTGTGTGTAGCTCTATATCCTGAACTGATTGGATATGAAGAGATAAAGGTCAGGGCAAAGGGTCAGAAGAGAGCAAATATGTAAGGTGCCTTGTCAAGTGTTTTGGAGTCCTCAGCCCAGACCCTTTTGCAGTGTCAGGTGGGCTGTGGCAGCTTCCTGTCCCATGAATCCTTCCAGCTGCCTCTCCTGCCTACCTTCTTGAAAATGCTAATTATTTTAAAATCACTCTGTTGATGTTAAAATAGCCTTTTAAGTATTGTATATAGCACTGAAATTGGAAATATCACTGCTATCCTTAAGCCTCTGGTGCATCAGAAAGAAGACAAAGCTCCCTGCTTGGCTGCCACCATCAGAGGGACTTTTCAGTGTTGTCTCCAAGAGCAATGATCTCACTGAGTGCTGAAAATCATGTCAATGCTGAGCCAAATAAAAGAGGACTTGTTTCTGTTGAAGAAATAGAAATTCCTGCAACAGTGCCCTTTACTGTACAGGAACTAGTCCAACTCCCGGAGTTTGGACAAGGTGACCTTGTCCCACTGCTGTGCCTCAGACCCTCACAGTCAGATAACTTTGCTGTGAGAGTGGATTGGACATGAGGTGGGTTTGGATCCCTCCTGGGATAAGATGAATTCTCCCACTGCTGCTTCCTGTAGTCACCTTAACCCTCTTTTAGATTTCAGCCTGTTTGCCCTGGCACTTTTCCATGTCCCAGAGGTCAGACAGTACCCTCTTCTTGGTCTCTCCTAGTCCTCTTATCAGCCAGCTGTGTCCCACCTGCACAAAAATGACTGCAGGCCATGGTCAGCTCTCTCCAAGCTGAGTGTCCCTCTGCATTTGCCTTCCAGGGGAGCAAGAGCCCTTCACCTGAAATCCTCCCACGATGCTGTGGCTGCTGCTGCTGCAGGTCTGGGCGAGCTGCCTTTGGCTGGGACAGGGCGAGGTGGTGAAGTCCTTTGCAAATACATGTAATCAGTTTTTCTACCAGAACATGCCCCCAGCAAAAGGCCTGGAGCCACAGAACCCAGCCTGGATCTGCCAGACCTTCAAGGACCGTCCTTTCTATGCCACCTTGTATGACAAAAAGGGGCGTATTCCCGTGTACTCTGCTTACATCTACCAGCCTGGACCTGGCACGAGGCGTGACGAGTGGATGGTTGAGCCCCAGGTGAGTGTCCTCTCTTACAGCATATCACCCTCTAGTCACTAAAAGATGAACTGTAGTATTTAACCAAACATCTCTATTTCCTCCCACCCCCATACACACACCCGCAAATGGACCCACAGGATGGAATTCATCTCATCTCACTTCATGTCGGGTTATTAATATAATAAATAAATGCAGTCTGACTCCTAGCTGAGGTTGCAGCCAAAAGGGATTTATTTCAAAAGGTAGTGCCTTTTTATCCCCTGGGAACATGTGACCAAATAACCAATGGGAATACAGGGGACCGCACATGTGTCCTGGACTCTTCTCCCAGGATGCTTCCCCCGCATCCTCAGGACACGCCTCCTCCAACTTCAGACACCTCCACCCCATGATTCCTTTGATGCATTTCAAACAACAGCAGGAGGAGGAGTCCTATCCCAAAGGTGCCCATTTTTCTGCATTGACCTGAGAGCAACATCAAGGCAAATTCCATTCCATTCCATTCCAAAGTCAAATGACCTCCCTCTCTGTGCCCTGCTGTGGTGGGAGAACAAGTGATGGGGAAAAGGCATCCAACAGCAGCTAAATTTGGGGGACCAACAGTCCTGCTGGGCTGTGATCTCCACTTTGCCCTGAGCTGTTTTGCATCCCTGACAGAGCTCAATTGTTCCCGCTTAGGTGTCACATAGGCTTTGTAAGTGATGTGAGAGAAGTGAGGAGAAACTCAGAACTGGGTGAGATGACCCAGGGAAAAAGCCTTGGCACAGGCACTGAGTGGGGAGAGGGTTTGGTGAACCCTGGGGAAGTATTGAGTGATATTTCAGGCAGTGAAAAGTGAGGAGCATCAGTGTCAGTCCAGTCAGAAGGGGGTGATCTCCAGCCATGGCCAGTTGCCCCTGAGCACTGTTGCCTCAGGCTTGGTTCAGAAGGATCCGTCAGACACACAGATCTCCACAAACGACAGAGCTCTCCCAACTGTCCTTCAGACCTCCAGTGAAAAAGACCAAGGGAATTATGGAACAGAAAGAGAGGAAGTTCAGGTCATTGCTAAGGACAGAGCAGCAGGAGGCAATTTAGGTGTTCATGAGTGACAGCAGAAAGCCATATGCCCTGTTCCAGAGGGAGAAGAAATATGTGTTTCCAAAGATGAACAGAAAGGTGTTGGAATTCTGAAAAAAAAACAAAAACATTTCCACTCTGTACTCATTGGAACTCAAACAACTAATATGATATTGCACCACTGCAGTCTCCACATTTAGGGCTGAGATAAAGCTTCTCTCTGTTCACAGAATCATTGAATCGTAGAGGGGTTTGTGTTGGAAAGAACATCAAAGATCATGTCATTCCAACCCCCATTCCATGGGAAGGGCCACCTTCCCCTAGACCTGGTTGCTCAGAATTCCATCCAACCTGGCCCTTTTACTCCTGGATCATGGAGCCAGGCCTCCTGCAAACTCTTTGATTTCGGTAACTTTCTCTAGAGGTCCTTTTTCAGTACTTGGGTTCCTCAGGACTCTTTGGGGATTATGAGCTCCTTGGAGAGGCTGATAATTTTTACCTTCTTTGCAGTGAGGCTGCAGAAGATACCTCCTGTCCCAGGTCAGCTCTGAGACACATTATTAGGACTGCAGTAGCAGATCCCATTTGCATCGAGGTCTTTTTGATTAAGGAACAAAAAAGCTTCATCCTTGCAGTGACCTGTAGTCCCCCCTGGGAAACCTCACCTCTAGGACTGTTTTCTCAACACATCTCCCTGTGTCTGGGATTACAGGAGGCAAACCCTGGTGTTCCAGGAGTGTGGTACACCTGTAGCAGCCACAGAAGGAATCAGAGAATGATAGACTGGAGGTGGGAGAATCTGGGGAGAGCCCTGGGCAGATGTGGGGTGTGGAGAGAGGTGGAAAAGGAAGCAGATGTGGCAGGGAGGATGTCTTACCAGAGTCAACTTCAAACCTAGGAGTGCAAAATTCTAATTGTCTCATGTATCCAGCCACATTCCTGGCACAGGTTGCAGGCTGGATCACAAAGGTCACAAGTCTAAATGAGAACAGTCAGATACGGAGAGTCTTTTTTTAACGCTTTAGTGTTCATTGGGGAGTGGCAACTACAGGATTTTGTCTTGGATTCACACATTTTCATACACTGAGATGACAAAAAATTAGATCTTGACACTCAGAGACTTCTTCTTCAGGGAAACCTGCTCCATTACTCCCATCCCCAATACTAATACCTTTTCCTCTTCCTTATCTGTCAAGCTGATACGGAACAATTTGCCCAAAGACATGGAAACAGAGAAGACCCTCAGAGAAAAATACTCAGTCAGCGAAAAGGATATCAGGGAGAGCCAGGCTGTCTACCAAGACTACCTTAAACTTAAGGGTTTGAACCGTGGCCATTTGAACCCCGCTTCCCATCACAAAACCCAGGATGGTAGAAACGCGACCTTCACCCTCACCAACATAGTGCCCCAGAATACTGCACTCAACAAGGGCAAATGGAATGCCTATGAGCAGAAAACAATGCCCAAGAAAAGCAAGGACTGTAAAACCACCTATGCCATTGTGGGTGCTGTGCCTGGGAACTCCTACATCGCTAATGGGAGGGTTAATGTACCCAGCCACATCTGGGCCAGCGCCTGCTGCAAGACCAAAAAGAACACCGTGATTGCTTGGGGGGCCATTGCTGAGAACAACCAGAACAACATCCGGATCCTCACGCTGGGGGCACTGGAGAAAAAGTTGGCTGAGCTGTATAAGAGGGGACCAGTTTCTCTGTTCCACAAGGACTGTCCCCGTAAATAAGCCTCACATCCCGGGTTTAAAAGGCTCGGGTGCTTTTCCCACATATCACAGAATCAGAGAACAGTTTCATTCAAGGGATCTCAAAGATCATTCAGTTGCAAACCTCCCGCAATAGAGCAGGGATATCTTCCACTAGACCAGGTTGCTCAGAGCCATGTCCAACCTGGCCTTGAACACTTCCAGGGATGGGGCAGACACAGCTTCTCTGGGCAGCCTGTATCAGTGTCTCACCACCTCACAGGGAAGAATTTCTTTCTGATACGTAGTCTGACTCTGCCCTCTATCACTTTAAATCCCCTTTCTCCTGACACTCCATGGCCTTGTTCAAAGTCCCTCTCCAACTCTCATGAAAACCCTTCAGGTACTGGTAGGGGACCTAAATTCTCCTTGAAGCCTTCACCAGGCTGAACAACCCTAACTTTCTCAGCCTGTCTCCAGAGCAGAGGTGATCCAGCTCTCAGAGTACCTTTGTGGCCTCCTCTGGACTCCACCCCAACTGGTTTGTGTCCTTCTCATGTTGTGGGCCCAGGGCTGGAGGCAGCACTGCAGGTGGGGTCTCATGAGAGCAGAGGAGAGGGGGACAAATGTCTTGTGCAGTGTCCATCCTGGTGGGTTTCCAGCTCTGTCCCTCAGGGCAACTCCTCCTCCTGCTCTGATAAAAGGGAGAAGGAGGTGGGCAGAGCCTCCAGCTGGTTTGCTTTGCTGCCCATGCTGACAGAGAGCTCTTAGGGGTGAGTCCTTGCCCTGGCAGTCTGGAGGGAACAGCTGGAGAAGAGCCCATGGACAAGGAAATCAGAGCTTCTCAGTGAGACCAGAAGGGCTTTGCCTTGTTTCCCTTTTGCTCCCTGCCCACAGACAGGTCTTAGTTCCTTCCCCTCCTCATTAGCTGTCCCTCAGAGTGTGCTGCTGACTTGTCCCTCACCTCCTTAGGAAGGCTGTGGGATGAGGGTGGCTCAGGTTGCCCACAGGTGTTGTGGAGTCTCCATTGCTGAAGATGCTCAAGCCCCAAGTGGACATGATCCTGGACAACCTACCCTAGCTGAGCCTCCTTGAGCAGGGGTCTGGACTAGGAGATCTTGAGAGGTCCCTCCAAACCTCAACAATGAAGTGATTCTGTGATGCTGGGAACCAGATTTTGTTTGCTTGCTTTTGAAACCTGCACCTTGTAGAAGCAGGAGCTGAGGTCTGAGATAGGCAGGCTCAGGCATCAGATCTACAGGAAGCTTTGGCTGGTCAGAGATAAATTTCTGTCTGTGATACACTGCTTGGATAACTTCATTCTCTGCTGTGCTTCTGAACCTTTTCTGCAGATTTATGGCTAAAGGATTTTGTGACATGTATTCAGTGTATTCAATATAATCAATGCATTAGATATATCAATCAAAAGATCCGTGTGTGCCAGTTCATGTAGTTCCTGAGTAGTTCATAATAAAAATTATTTGCTCCAGTGCTGGATTGCAGGGTCATCTTACACATAAACCACAAGTTGCTTCTTGCTGAAATTTCCACCACTGGTGATATCACAGCACCCAGAGCATCCTTGCAGAAGGAGGGGTGTTCAAATCCACTTAGAAGATGCCATAACACCTACAATAGTGTCTCCCCCATCAGACTGCAGTTACTTCTGCTAGGAATGGGCATGAACCAAGTGGATCAGGCTGCAAACAGCTCCCACAAGTTGTGTCACTTCCAGAGGTACCAGCTTGAGCCTGAACTTCTCAGCTCAGCAGCTGTTGTTCACCATCCTACAGTGTCTCATCTCTCACCCTGGACCAACCACTTTGGGGGTTGCACTGAAACAGTGGATGGGGTTGAGGTGCAAAGTCAGGCAGCAACATGCAGATGTCTCCAGGTGTGCTGGGTGTCCCAGCTCTGATCCCAGCCACCAGAGATCCAGGGCTGGCTCAGCTCCATAAACAGATGCACCCTGGGCCCTTGAGGTGCCCTGAGGTGTGTGAGAGCCCCGGTGGGGCTGATCTGCTGCAAAATCCTGGGGAACACCAAACCCATCTGGGCCATCAGCCAGAGGCCAGGCAGGTTCCCCAAGGGCATCTGCAGTGGCTCTGGACACCTGAGCACAGGGAACCAGATCCCAGCACAGACCCTGGGCAGTGCCCAGTAGCACCAGGGACTTGTGCTCTTGTTGTCTCCATGACATGGAAAGCTTATCAATAGTCCTTCATCTGTGCATCTCTGAGCTCCCAACTGAGAGAAGACTGGAGGATCCAATAGGATCCTTTACAGGTTGAAGAAATGGAGGTTTGTCTTACAGAAGAGACCCCATGGGAGCTGGATCAATGAGCAGCAGAGCTCCTTCAACATCACTCACAGCACTTCTCCATCCAGCATGTACACAGCTCTGGACAACACATAGGCAGTGCCTACATTGACATGAAAGGCAAAGTAGTGCCAGTTATTAGGTAGTTATTATTAAATTGTATAAAAAAGCAGTGAAATGGAAAACCAGGAGCTCCTAGACCCCAGGGGTATGATGAGAGGTTCATGGCTTCTTTTTACCAGCAACCTCCGAGGCAGGATGACCTTAGTTCTTCTAATAGATGATTGAGGTGGACATGATGCTGAATGACCAGTGTCTGTACGAGGCAGGTTTATTTTAAAACAACTGGGTTGCAGTGGAAAGGATGCTTGTAGCCATTTTAGTTCTTTTCTATAAAAGTATAGAAATACCAAGAAGAAAAAATCTAATGAGAAGACAGAAGGAAAGAGAAGGAAAGGACAAGAGCAGATAGTGGAGAGGAAGGAGATCACCACTTGTGGATCCAGCAACGAGACCTGCAATTTCAGTGTCTGTAGCCTTGATCCTTTGGGAGTGGGGGCCAGAGGCACAGAGAGTTGGATGGGTTCTATTCATTCCAGCTCTCATGAGAATGCCCCACTGCCTTCCCTGGAGTGGGGTTTTACACAGTGTGGTGCTACACTGTGGAACTGAGTCAGGAGATGCTCCGGGGGTCTTTGGTGGTTTATGGCCCTTTCTCATGACATGAACACAGTTTGGCCTTGCTTCTTGCAACTGCTGCTTTGTCAGGCCAGTTGGGCCTCATCAGAAAGGAGGAAATATGATAAAAAGGATACAAAGGATTGCCCCAGCTCTGCTGGATCTGCTTTTTGTCAGCCTTCTACCTTATTTGCCTCAAAACCACTTTAAGATGCCAGTCCCAGGTTATCAGGGACAAAATAAACCACAGGACTCAACGACTTCCTTCAAACACACTTGGGTCTATCACACTTCTTCTGGTCATTTCTGGTGGGACAACCAACTTGTTTTCCAGTATTCCTGGACGTTTGGAAGTGGATGAAAATGAGTCCAGTTTAGTAGTGAATGAAGGATTATAGACTCATAGAAGACTCATTTTGAGTCTTGGAAGGGCCCTTAAAGATTATCTGGATCCAATCTGCTGCCATGGGCAGGGACAGCTTCCACTAGACCAGGTTGCTCAGAGCCCCATCTAACCTGGCCTTGAACATTTCCAGGGATGGGGCAGCCACAGCTTCTCTGGGCAACCTGTGCCACTGTCTCACCACCCTCACAGCCAAGAGTTTCTTCCTTGTATCCAAACTAAATCTACACTCCTTCAGTTTAAAGCCATTCCACCTTGTCCTATCAACTCCCGGTCCTTGTGCAAAGTCATTCTCCAGCTCTCTTGCACGCTCTTAAAGAACTGGAAGGGGCTCTAATGTGTCCCCAAGACCTTCTCTTTCCCAGGCTGGTGGCAGGAATACGGGCTCTTACAAAGCCTTGGCAATCCAGAAAGGGAAAATATGCAGCCTGGCCATATTAATTATCTCCTGAGAGGCTGCAGAAGAGCTGACTGTGGACATCTGGGGGTGCTCTGAGACACGTTGGTCAAAGGCCCCCAGAGATGTTCTGCCAAGAACAGAAACGTGTGTGGGTGCTGCAGCAGCAGTGGCTGTGGCCCCTGGGGAATGAGGAAATGGACAGGGATGTCACCAGACCCAGTTAACTGCTCCTGACCTGTGGCTTCAATCAGCTACCTTTGGAGAAACCCAGAAGAAATTGCAAATAGCAACTGTCACCCAATTTCTGTGCAAGGATGAACAAATCTCCCCTGAGTAACAACAGAAAACTTCTCCTTTTTTTGAAATTCTGTGGTTATCGGATTTACAACCAGGCATATATTGCAGTGGGACTCCTGAGGGATCAGTCAACAGCTTCTCCAAGGAGAAGAGGCAAGGAGCGGCTCAGCTGCCTGTTCTGAGACTCTGCTTCAAGGTAAGCTCTTGTTCCTTTCTCAGCATAGACTCCAATATTTCAAGTATTTCCTTAGTTTTGGGATAAAGAGATCAGACAAAGCATAGGCCGGAGTTGCTGAGCTCCACCATCTGCCTTCCATGGAGAAATGAGAGGTTATGCATGCACTGAATTGTGCAGCTCTTTAACTTTATCTGTTAATGAAGGCAAGAACAGAAGCATGGATTTGGGAGAGAAATTCAAGTCAAGTCACCAGTAAAATTCACATCAAACTGTTTAATAAGAATCAAGAGGGGTGAGGTGTGGTGCTGAGCTTATGGAATACCAAAATTCCACCCATGACCTTGCAAAAAACCTCTGGACAAACATAGGTGCAGGCTACACTCCTGGGCAAAGTTAATCTGAAACCCTGTGTGGGAAATCTCACAACTCTTCCTTCCAGGGGGATCATATATAAACAGCCAGTCTCAGACTGCAGCAGAGACATTTCAAAGTCCTCTGCCACTCTGGGGCTGGGAGCAGAGTCCTGAGCCCATATTTCCCACGGTAAGTTGGTTTCTCTCTATCTGATATTGAGTAAGTGGGATATATTTTAAGCTCATGGAGGGGTTGGTGCAAAAGGACCTTTCAGGAACTTCTCTGCTTGATTGGGGCAGAGATGGTCCTGCTCTGCAGAGCACTGTACAAAGCTACAGCTTGTGGCTCATATTTTGAGTTTCCTCATCACTGGTCCCCACGTTCCTGATCCAGGACCGGTAAAGAGAAAAAG